TCCCATCTCTGTTCGGTTCAGAGACCCTTTGTCTAGACTAAGGTTTTATTTCTGCTACGTTAACTCCGGCTGAGATAAATTGAGACCAGTAGAGGAGAGAAATCTAGAGAAGTTTTATGTATAAAATCACACAGTTACCAGGAAGGGCCTGAATCCGTTTAATATTTTCATATAAACTGTGTAATCTTATGGCTGCTTAATCTCTGTTTCTTTGTTCTCATAGATAAAATGGGGATAATAGTTGTTAACATTTTACAGGAATGTAGTGAGGATTAAATATGTCAATATGCTATATATAAGGCATTTGGAACAGCATCTGACATATAGATATTGTTTTATTACATGTCATAATTTTAGTTAAAAAATTAAATTGATTTATATGTTATTGGACTTATTGTGGCCAAGAAATTTATGGTAACTCACTTTTAATGTTCGTGTTACCTGCTGAAGGAGAAACAGCCAGGACTCGGTGGGCATAGAATTCACATTTCTAATTCTGCAGAGTGAAACCTCATTGAGTCATAAGCCCATAATTTAGAATTTATGGTCATTTAGGAGTAATTTTATTTTCCAGTGTCTGTGAAGGCAATGTTTGCAGACAAATAAATAAAAGGTATTTTTGACTAGCATAAGGGAAAAAAAATTTGATAAAATTAAACTACTCCAGGAATATTCCTCAGCACATAAAAATAAAGGCACATTCGTACGTAAGTTATATGGAGAGGTTGTTTTAAAATGGTTCTTGTTTGTATATCACAGCACATCCAGGAAGCCATGTACTTGACAGTACTTTATTAGTAATTGATAAGTTTGTGCTACTGTGTGTTGTAAAAGTAATAGACATATATTTTCTTTCTATATACCATTTCTGACCTACTCCATACTCTTCAATATTACAGAAACTTCTGCACATTATTTAAAAACACCCCGATCAATATACAAAGCTGAGAGATTCAAACATTTAAATGATTTCAAATGTTAAATAGGCAACCCATGTTCCATGAGACCCTCCTCCAAAGTTGTTACTGGTGAAGCAGGTTAGGGGAGGTGACACCTGTGCCCCCAGGCCAAGGGCTCTGATACAGAATGCCACATGATTCCACTCCCAACTGAATCACCTTTGTTTCTAGGGAGGGAATCAGAGTAGCAGAGGGACAGAGTAACTTACGTTTTAAATTTTATACCATGAGCACATAATATTTATTAAAATTTTTAAAAACTTTTGAAGGATTTAATACTGCTGACTAATCTTCCCTTATCAGAATTTTCTCTTCTCCTGGCTTTGATCACACCATGGGAACATTCCTCCTACCTTGTGGCCATTCCTGACAGCTGTAAATTGTCCTTCATCAGAAGATTCTCTTCTAGATCCTCTAGCCCTCTTATTCTGCACTAACTCCCTGGATAAATCTTCTATAGGCCCATGATTTAAATCGTTTACATCTTCAGGATGGCCAAACACACACTCACTCATTAAAACATTTGTATCAGGTTTCTGCTTTGGGCACTGGGGACTGGAATACAGCAGTTAGCAAAGCATTTTATTTTGAGCTTTCATTCCATGCAAGAAGAGAGGCACAGTGGGTAAAATAAAATGGGTTAGAGAGTGATACATTCCAAAGAGAAAAATCAAAGCAGATGAGAGAAACTAAGTGTCAGGATGGAACATGAAAACTGAGTGTTGGCCCCAGCTCAGCCCTCATTTCTGAGCGTCAGGCACATAGACCAACATGTCCACTGCACCTTGAATGGCTAGCCTAGCTGAGTACCTTAAACTTATCCTGACCCAGACTGAATGTATCGTCCCCGTCCCTGTCAGTTTCATTCCACCACCACCCAGCTACACAAACCACAAATGTATGAGTCATGGTGAATTCTTCTCCCTCCTTCCCCTATCCCATCTGTCACAAAGTCTATCCATTTCCCCCACATAACTCCAGCCTCTTCTCTCCATCTTCACTGTCACTATCCTAATTCAAACCTCAAGCACCTCCCCTCTGGATTCCTGCCATAACAGATCCCTACAGCCATTGCCTTCTTCCTCCAGGGTGATTCAAAGTCATCTCCTCATTCCTCTACCTCCACAGATCAGTGGTCCCAAATTGCTCCTGCTCGGGTTTCAGTCGCATCACTATTGGAGCTCTCTGACCTTTGCCCTCTCGTCTTGACTGTTCTCCATTCTTCATCACGCCATCCTCTCTTGGCCTGGAATATTTGCACGTACTTATTTCCTCTTCCTGGAATATTCTTCCCCCAACTCATCGCCAGGATTACCCATCTTTCAAATCTTAACTGAAGAATCACTTCAATTAAGTTATTTGCCCCAGTTATGGATTCCTAATACCCTGTGTTTCCCACTTCACAACACATGCTACATCCATTCATATTTCTATAATGGTTTCTTCCCACTCTGGAGCATAAGCTCCACGTGGGTAAGGACCACATCTGCCTTTTCAACACAACACCCAAGTGCTTATCAAAACTGTTGGACACGGAGTAGGTGCCCAATATATATTTACTAAACACATGAATAAATACTATAGCAAGTTAATAGCACCTGGCTAGTGACAGCTTTTGCTTGGCATTTATATGCTTCATATTCAGACATGGTTTTGAATCATGATCTCTTAAGAGTACTTAGCTTTGCCTTCTCATTATATTTCTGGGATCAGGAAGGATGCTCCCTAACAGCTGACACATCTCCATTTCCAGCAGTGCCCTGCCTTGCACACTGGTGTTCCAATTTTCACATTTCTAGGCAGTGTTTCCAGCCAAGGCTTCCAGAGAGATGTCCTAGTGTCGATTCTGCTGTATAGTAAGATCCACAGTAGGTATAAATTAGTAACAGGTTGCATAATAGTAGGAATATCTCTTTAATTACATTACTTATAACTATTGGTAAGATATCTCTGAGCTGTTACCACGTAAAGAAAATACTCTTTTATCTTTTCCCCTTTTGCTTGGTTCTTGAATACATTTCTTCTTAACCTTACCTTAACTCCCTTGAAATGTCTGCTCCTCTCTTCTCCAGCTAATCTATGATAATTACACTAAATTTATGTCTACTCGGTATTTACAGATTAATGCTCCTACGACTTGTTTGTTTCCTGTCCATTCATTATGCCTCATGCATTAAAATCGGTAATGTTTATCAATCCCATGGCAAATGCTACACATGTACTTGTCATTCCACAATAATCAAATGGAGAAGGTAATCTTATTATTTGCATTTTGATAGAGGAGGAAACTAAGGTTTGGAGAGCTTAAGTGACCTGCCCAAGTCACAAAAGGACAAGTATTGGAACTGAAAGTTGAAACCCAAAGTTAGGCCTCTAGTTCCTGGACCATCATCGTTTTTTTCAGTGGATGGCAGCATTGGTGGTTTTGTTCCTTCTATTTACTGAATTTTGATCTTTCGGCCTAAACTGAAGTGAGCCAAAGTAGGAGGGGCAGGCAGTGCAGAAGCTGCCAGGTGGATATCTAAGGGTCAGAAGGAAAATCCTGTTTTGACCTGTTGTCCAGGGGAAGAGATTTCTAGGGCTTCACCTTGGTTTATCTGGGTTTCAGACCACATTAGGGATCCTCTGGGTACAATGTTAACAATCTAAACTTTGTTTTCCCTTCCACATAGTCAGCTGGGGTAAAATTTCTCATTCTGTACGAGGGGGAAATAAAATGAAAATTGGCAATTTTCCTCAGCCATCAGTATACATTTTGATTTCTGTAACTCTCAACCCAAGTAATTACAGAATTACCGATAAGAGAGCTACCGATTTCAATTCTTTCCCCTCCCCCACGTGAATGCGTGTGTGTGTGTGTGTGTGTGTGTGTGTGTGTGTGTGTGTGTGTGTGTCTTTGGGTGGAATCCTCTGAGCCTCCAGCCCTGTAGAACGCTGGGCTGGAGGTCTGCACTGTTTATGGTGCTGTCTTACCTGCTTCTAATGCAGAAACTCCCTTAATGGTGAAGGCACGTCGCTCTCCCTTCCTGCTCTCCTTACAGCCCAGGAGCTGTAGGATTCCAGCCTCACAGCCCTCCACACTCCCTTGAAGTCATTCCCTAAGCGGCCCAGGGTGAGCCTCTGACCCAGGCAGTAATAATGAAAAGAATAATGACGATGTCAAGAAGTAAATGGGTCAGGTGCAGCTCCGACCAGGACCCCGAGGAGTCCCTGGTGCAGCGGAGACTGCGAGACTGCGGAGCGACCCCAGCCCACCGCCGCCTAGGGGGTCCCCTTCCCACCGCAGACCCAGCGGGCCGGGCGGGTGCGGGGAGCGCGCCCCCTGCCCGTTCCTCCGCAAACCGCCCAGGGCTCCCGAGCCCAGGGTGTTCCGCAGCAGCGACCAGCCGGCAGTCGGCAAGGTCCGGGACCTGGAAGTCAAGGCTGTCTAGTCTAGTGGTTAGGGAAGCAGGTTTTTGGGGCCCAAACCTGGTTCCACTTCTAGCCACCGGGTGACCTTGGTTCCTTCGCTTCAACGTGCCAGTTTCTAAACCCATAATATAAGGAAACTGAGGTGATGGCTAAAGTAGGATTCTTGTAGGAATTGATTAATGCAGCACTCCTGGCTCGTAGGCAGTAGGCGCTCAATTAATGGTGACGATGATGGCGAGCAGGAGTTAAAAGTTAAGCTCTGGGGTCCAGATGTAGGTTAGATCTTAGATATTTAAAGGTATTCACCCCGAGTGGGGGAGGGGTCGCGGGAGCAACCTGCCCTCCATCCCTCCACCTGGGTTCCAAGAAAACCCAGGAGTGCCCGGAGACCATTGGTCCGGCTCCTTCAGACGACCCGGATGCCCCAGCCTCGTGGCGCCTCAGGGCGTCCACGCACGTCTCTTTACCTCGGGCTGCGGAAAGACTTCTCCCACGAACCGAGTGTCTCCCTCCCTCTCCAGCCCCTGGGTGTGCTCCCAGCCTCTGGGTCTCGGCGGCCGTGGCCAGCCCGATCCAGCCCCAGGCTGGAGGGAGGAGGCAGCCTCGGGTGTGCGAGTCCCTCCTGGCCCCGGGAAAGGGAGAGAAGACGAGGTGTCCTGCAGACCACGGGAGAACACGGTGCCCGGGCGGCCTCTGGGCCCCTTCCTCGTTTGGCCTGCCTTCTGGGGGCCGCTCTGGCTCTGGGAACCGAGGCTCAGCCCCTGCACAGCCCAGCGTCCCTGCCCGTCGCCCGCCGCCCGGCCGGGGCCAGGGTGGGGGGCGCCCACTCCGCAGGCGGCGCGAGTGGGCGGCGAGCGCAGGCCCGCGAGGTAAGGAGGGCGGGAGCCGGGGAGAGCCTGCACGTGCTCGCGCGCGCGTGCCCTGAGGGGGCGTGGGGGCCGCGGCGCACCCCGCTCCGCCACCTGCCCTCCCTGCCGTGCCGCCGCCTGAGCCCTCTCGCCCGGGCACCCCGTGAGGGCGCTTGCCTCCCGCACCCCCACTCCTTCCACGTCCCATCACCCCCTTCCAACCCCACCCTCCCTACTAATAATTCCCCACTGCAGAAGCCGCCCGAAGCCCGGAGATGCAGCCTTTCTGCTCCCTCGCCCTCCCGCCTGCCAGCTATAAATAATCCGGACTAGCGGGTCGGGCCCGTCACACCGCCAGAAACCGGGACCCCGAGGTCTGCTTCTCAGGGACTAGGGGGCAGGGGGTGAGGAGCAGGATAAAGGAATCGCTCGTGAGTAGTGAAGAAGCTTGCTCCTTGACTCCTAGCGAAAAAAAGCAGGCAGCATTTTATTCTTCTCTTTTTCTGGCTTCCTTTTTTTATTTTTCGGTGTCTTTTTTTTATTGCCCCCCCCCCCAATCCAACGGGTTGTTCAGCGCTCCTCCCATTGGCTTATTTTCTCCCTCCCCCCTTCCATTCCTGCTCCTACATCCCCTCCCCTCCCCCCACCGCACAACCCCCACCTCTACACTCATCTCGCCCCAGGCAGGGGATGCTATTAGCCCAGGAAATAAAGTTCAAACTCCTCTCCCCATCTGCTTGCTGAGACCAGTCTGGTCCCCCAGGAACCCATCTTCGGCTCGGCTCGCACTCCACACCTCCTATCCTCTAAATTTCCAATCTGGTTTTGCATATTTAAGAGGACACACACACACACACACAACCTACAACCCGAGCGGTGCAAAACTGCCTCCTGCAACTACCGAAACTTACCAGCCACTCTAGTTGTTTTTGTCATCACGAAAAGACAACAAAGATTTTTACTCTGGGTCCTCTGTGGGGTGACTTTTTTATAGTATTCAGATATGTATATATTATGCATATATGTATTTTTCCTTTTTCCCTTTTAATTTATTTTTATTTTTATTTATTTATTTTTCTTAGCAAGAAAATCTGCTAGGTCCCAGGCAGCCTCTGCTGCCCCTTTGATGTTTTGGTACGCCGTGCGCATGCGCCTCACATTAGAATTACTGCACTGGGAAGACTAAGTTGGATCACCTCTCTTCAGTGAAGCCCTCAATCCCATCAAAAACTAAAGGGATGTGGAGAGTTCGGAAAAAAGGCTACTTTGGGATTTGGTCATTCCCCTTAATAATCGCCGCGGTCTGTGCTCAGAGGTAAGTGTGCCCAACGCTTCTGTTTTTCCTCTCACTTTGAAGGGCTCTGTCTGCATACCTCTGTGAACGGGCATCTGTAGTGAGGATCAGATAGATGCTGAACGCTGAGCCTGCTACCTTACTGATGCCTGTTTATTATCTTCTCTTTTCTTAGTGTCAATGATCCTAGTAATATGTCACTGGTTAAAGAGACGGTGGATAGACTCCTGAAAGGCTATGACATTCGTCTGAGACCAGATTTTGGAGGTAATGGGGTTGCCTTGGAAATAAGAAACAACCCAGCTATAGCCTAAGCTGTCTTTTGAGCTTTGTGCTCGCTGTCTGTTCCCTCTCCCTCATCGTGGTGAATGTGGTGTATTGAATGTGTCTCTGTGTTACCATGTAGAGAAACCGATCCAAACTTAAGCTGATTTGTGACTGTCCAGCACTTAGCTGGTCTTTCAGTGAGACCCTCTTAGCTGAATTGGTGGCTGCTACCCTTCGGCTTCACTGTAATAAATCCTTTGCTTCGCTGTCTTTGCCTGGTTCAGTTACAAATCTCTTAAGTTTAGTTAATGGTGTGCCCAGAAAACCTGGCTTAATGAAGGCTGTCGTGAACATTTTTGAGGACAAGATGTGCAGACAATTGGTTGAGAAGTGGCATTAACCCCCTGTGCCCGCCTACTTTGGAAGAGTTCTGACCACGGTTTAAAGTGGCTGGTGTCTAGATATTATCCAATCCTGGAAGCCTCATTGCAAGGGGCAGTGAAGTGTGGGGGGACTTGAGGGGCTTGGAGGGTAAGGGGGAGGGCCAGGGGCCTCTTTTGCTGCAGCCTTAGAAACCCTGAAGTGCCCATTTAATTTTGCTTCAGAGTCTTATGAAGATTAGAGAGTTAAAAACCTGCACACAAAAGCTGTGGGGGTGAATGAGGAGGAGGGTTTCAACGCAATATAAAAAATTCTCCTGGGCTAGAATGTGCCTGAGCTTTTGTGAGTTGTGTGTGCTCTCCTGCTGAGACATCTACACATGTAGACCGAGCTGGAATCCCTCATCCATCAGGACACGTGTGTGCATGTTCAATAGAGCATTTCCTAGAGGAGCTGCCACCCTTTTAAAAAAAGAAGCAGGGACTTAAAGAATTTAAGGGTGAGCAGTGGGGAGGGACTTGGGGCAGAGTGTCCCATGCCCGGGGACAACTCTTGCTAAGAATGAATGAAGTTCCGAGAAATCAGGTTGCTGGCTCTCTTGGTTCACAGGTCCCCCCGTGGCCGTGGGAATGAACATTGACATTGCCAGCATCGATATGGTTTCTGAAGTCAATATGGTGAGTACTGAGGTTTCTGACTGTCTTCACATTAATCAGGGATAGGGAGGAGAAAGAAGCCAGCCCCTGGGGGTCGGACGTGTGTGGGTATGTATATGAAGTGGGGGCAACGGCAGGGGATTTTGGTTTGGAACCCACTGTGTTTGGGGTTTCAGAGTCAGCTCTTTCTGGTCCCTAAAGATTTTCCCAACTTGGTTCGAATACTTGGGACTTGGCATAAAGCAAGTAAAATGCATCACACATTCACATGCCAAATGTAGCCACAGGCAGGAGTCCCCCTGCAGAAGCCACATTTCCTAAGTTCAGCTGGACATCCGGTTCATCACATGATGTTCTGGGCTCTGGGTGGGGTTAGGGAAATGGGGGAAGGTTTGGATTTAACATTTAAAAGAGAATGCCATCTATAAACTAAACTGTTGCAAAGAGGCTAAAAACATGCCCCAAGGGATACTCCTGTCCACTTGTTGCTTTCAGAGATGGCCTCTTTACTACTGAGGGCAAGCCCCCCCCCCCTTCTCTAAGTGCCTGATCAGCAAAATAAATAAAATAAAAACTGCCCACCCTTGTTTTCTAATACTTTGGACTTGGCAAACATAGATCCACTTGTCATTTCCGGTTATTTCTGCAATGTTATTTACCTTACACCCTAAGTTTGTACAGTTTATGGATAGTAGCACTGCTTTGTTGCTACCCCCTTGGACTTGGGGCAAGTGCTAGGAGAAAAAGCCTCAGTGTTCCCCACTGGGAAACACTTGTGGGGGTTAGCTGCATGCAGGTCCGCCCCCTGCTGCCCATGCTGGGGCACTGCAGACATACAAGACAAAGGCAAGTGTCCCAGATACCCCCACATACTTGTGACTTTTCTAGTCTGTGTTTTGAAGCTTTCCCCTTTGGAAAAGTTTCTCTAGGGAGGCCACATGTGAGTGTAAGATTGCAGTGTTACTTTCAGTTCCGACAGCACGAAGCACGTTTCTGGGAAGCCTGTGTTGTGGCATGTTTCTGCCCAGCAATGGAAGGCACTGTTGAAGAACAGAGTGTAGAATGGGAGGTTTAGTGCAAACACTTCTATCCAGCCATCATTGAAATTTAGGACGCTTGCTACCTAGAGCCAAAGGACTCTGTAGGGGACATGCTCTCAGCATGACAGTCATTTTCATATTCCCCGAATTCAAATAAAGAGGAAGCTCAAATAACCAGCCTCGTTCCCCTCTACGCTGTGCAAAGACAGGTGATAATCCTGAGCTATCCCAAGATTCTGCAACATCCTGTGACTGCAGGAGGGAATATTTAACCATTTCAGTCATGTTTCAATGACATGAGTCTTCTTATTTTCTAATTACCGGGCAAGCCTTTACCACGGAGGATATAAACACAGAGTAAAGGCAATCTGGGATGATTCAAAACCTCAGATTTCCCACACATCTTTGTAAGTCTCATGTGGGTAGATAATGTTTCTTTCTCAGGAAACTGATTCCACAGATATACAAATATCCACTTTTGTGGGATTTTAGAGGTCTTTCATCAGTGTATATTTTGAGTTTTACCATAAAAATTTAAAGATTCCTAATGTGGGTACCACCTAAGTCCCAGATACTTGAATCTAAATTGTATTGCTAAAAACAAAGTAATACAGAAACTAGGTGGGGTTCAGGGTACGCACGTGCGACTAAGTTAGAGTCCTCTCTCTCTCTCTTTTGCATTTTGATTTATTTATGCTCTTTTCTCCTCCCAAACTTTATTTTACCACATTCCTCTTTATGGTGTCAGAAACACGGGATTTTATAGCAAAAGTAAGAAATATTTAAAATCCAGAGACAGCAATGACATGCTGCAGTAGATTAACTACGAACTTAGATGTATTATATCCCAGTTTGTTTGGTACATGGTTATTTTCTTCTTCTTCAGTTCTTTCTTTTTTTTTTTTTTTTGCTTATATGCAGCATTTTGGAGAGTTATCTGAATTGGACACAGTGCCAAGACCCACTAGTCAAAATATAGACCCAACTAAGGCAAGGTGTCATCTCCTAAAGTTATTATTGTTGCTGAAAAATCATGGGATGGTGAAAGTGTAAAAACAAATGTCAGGTTGTAAATAGGACAGTAGTGCAGCATTGATGACTAGCACCGAATGTGAACAGCCCCGTGCCAGATTCCTTTCTTAGCCGATTGCTAAAACACGTGGACTTGTCCAGACACATTGTGACTTGTAAAATAAACATATCTCAGCCAGCAACCTCAGTGACCGTACATAATCCTTCGAAGAAAAACTTTGAGATGCATGCTACTTTATTTCAATATGGTTATTTGATTCGAAGCAGCAGATGGGAAATCCCACCACTGGTGTCTCAATAAAATAAGGTGTTTGTGGCATTTTCGCCTTCTGTTTACAGGCCTAAAAAAATTAGGATTTTTTTTTTTTTTAATTAGATTCAGTTGTGAAAGAATGGTTGATTGATTATTGAAGTGTAATCTCGAAACTGATTAACACCCATGTTTCTACCTTATTATCCTTTGTGGCCTGCAACCTCTGGTAATTGTAACTTTCTTTTATTATAATGAATCTTCCTTTGAAGAATGGTAGACACTAGACCATTTAAATTGTTATTGACTCGTTTGCACCAGAAAAAAAAGGTCCGTGTCCGTGGGGTGAGCCTGGTTAATGACACTGCTAGAGAAACCCTGGCTGAGCCCAGAGTCTTGGATGTTAGCTCTGCTTCTGCTGTTCAGTCATCCAGAGAGGATGACTCACCTGTTAAAGGGGAATCATAGTCCCATTTTCCCTGTCTCGGGTGACCACCAGAATTAATGAAATGATACATGTGGAAGGTATTGGTGTCCTGAGGACGTAGCCTATGTAGAAGACTGAACACTGGCCTCTCACTCAAGGGACCCAGTGTCCGTTCCAGCTGCTACCCTAAGAGAGGTTGGGTCAGTAATTTACATGACTGTGTCTCAGTTTCCTTATGTTTGAAACGAGAGGGGACATGTCAAGTTGGTTTCCAACTCAAAGTAGCATGTGCTTCTGGTCTGGTTTATTCTAATAGCTCCGTTGGGTACAAAGGAGTTCTAGGAACCCTTGGAAAATCAGCACAGACTAAGGAAAATGCAGAAAACCGAAAGCCATGCAGTCCTGAGTCCTTACTCAGGAAGGTGATGATGGCATCTTACTCAGCCATGTGACTCAGGAGGACTCAATGGAACATCTTTGGGAGAACGTGCTATCAATTAGAATGCTCCTGAGCAGAAAGCTTGGCTTTCGAATGACATATTTTTAGATGTCTTGGTTAAACTGGCAGGAATCTTTTTTGTTAAGATTCTTGATGAAAAGTGCCTTTTAAGATCCAAAATTGGCTCTGAAGATTATGGACCGAAATAGCTTTCTCTTCATTTAAAGCAGATTCTTCTCCGTCTTGAAACAACACATTTGCCATCCAAAGAGTGAAGCAATATTTCACTTTTGAGGAAAGAGTTCTAGTAAACACAAACACAAATTACCTTCTTATGGAATGGTGAATGAGGAATAGTACTGCCTTTAACGACAACAACAAAAAAAAACCCAGATGTTTTCTGTGCCAGCTGCAAAGTTTAAAATTCAGTTCAAAGCAAATACTTATTTAGCAGCTTCCATGATCCAGCCATGGGTTTGGCCTGAGGAACAGGTCCAAACAAGACCAACTTGTCTCCTGACCTCATGCAACTTCATATATAGGTGTTCGCTATTGTTAATTCTCTAGGCTCCTGCTGTACTTATACTTATGTAAGTCTTATCTCTTCCCTAAACCTTTTTTCTGAACATCTGGTGAGTACCTAGTGCTCTGTGTCTCCGATGAGTTTCTTTGTGACTACATCATTCATGTGTTATTTGTTTGATATTTCAAGTTGCTCTATATTTACGTATTTATTCTGTCTTCCTCATCGTGTTAATACAATGTACATAGACAAGGTTATTCTGTCTCTCACCATGTGGTTTTGACCATGTGATGGTTGATTGGATGCTTGGCTCCTGGCGAATGCCACAAATACTGGATGAAGTGTTTATTTCTACGGCAGGGACTTGTTAATCACCAGACGCTATATCATATATGTGGAGAAACAGAGCATAGAATCATAGTCCTAAGTGTCTAGGCATTTGCCTTTTAAACCAACAAATGTAGACGGGATCACAATGTAGGATCGTAAGTGCTTTGAAAGAGGAAATACACAGGGAATATCGAGCGCTGGAGTATGGAGGTGTTGCATGGGAACTAGGGAAGTGGAGGTAGTAGGTACAGGTCTATGGGTATGTGTCCATGCAGACAGATGGCCTACAGGAGACAAAGACACAGAAAAAATAAATGGTGTTATGGATTTTCACATAGCTTAAAATGCCTGGAGTTGGGAGGAGAATTGCTGTTGTGGTCACAGGTGGTGATCAGGTTATGAAGACCCTTTTTGTGGCTTTCGGAAGAATTTAATTTTTGTTCCTAAGGCTGTAGGGACATGCAAAAGGATGTCCATAGAAGAATCAGAACAGATTCACACCTCAGGAAGATGCTTCTGAAGTGTGGGGGGTGGATTGAAGGGGAACGAGACCTAAGGTTGGGAGATGAGATGGGAACCCACTTCAGAAGTCCAGGAAGAATGATGAACTGACACAGGGATGCAGAGGATAAAATCAGGGCGTTTACGTGGTGGAAGTCACAGGACTTGGAGACTCCCAGGTTTCTCGTGGTGTCGTTTATTCATTCATAGAACTGGAAGAGCAGCCGAATTGAACAAGAGGGTTGGGCAGTCTGGGAAAAGTTGAGTTTTCTATACACATGGGATCTCTGAATGGAGAAAACCACTAGGTGATTGGAAAATGTGGGTGTAGAGCTAAGTAAGGAGCCATGACTAGAGGGATGCACTTGGACAAGCCAGCTTGAAGTGGTGGCACTAATAACTGTGTGAATGGAGACAGTTGAACGGGAAAGTGAGAAGACAGCTGAACACAGAGTTCTGGGGAGCACTGTAATTTAAAT